AGGGGGGGAGGGGAAGTGGGTGGGGGGGGGGGGGGGGGGGGGGGGGGGGGGAGCTGTGAACATCCTCTGGTCCCTATGACAATGTGGGGGAGCACAGCTAACAGAGGCAGCCACAGATGTAGCACTTGGCAGAGAAGTTTCTGGGCTCCGCTTTCCTTGAGATGCTCTTGGTCTCCTGGACACTTTGCTTGGGATCACTGGGAGACTGTTCCTCTGAGGAACACGGGGGTGCCTGCTGCTGCTTGGGGAGGATAAGGAAAGGATAAGGATAAGGGAAGCAGAGCCACAGGAGACCTTGACTTCTGGCACGTTTCTGGTAAGCTCCAGCTGCTTCTGACGAGCTCTGCCAGCTGCCCCTGAGGAAGGAGTGCTTGAAGCCCCTGTTCCAGCTGAGCCTAGGTTAGGGAGGGGCCAGCATCCCTTAGCCAATGCAAGGGCGAAGCCTATATAAGAGCCAGGCTCAGCCCACAGGTACTGTAGTGTAGCTGGTAGAGGCAGCACTTTTGGTTAGAAAGGTGAGGAGCGAGTCTTCCTGCAGTGCTGGAGGACACAGCCTAGCCAGCCCTGAGCTGCAGAGGATGTCTGGGACCTCTTGCTGGGGCTGGTGCACGTGGCTGGCAGCCTGCAAGAGGTGTGTGGTTGTGTACGCGTCGGAGCTCTGCTGCCAAGTGGGGGAGCTGCTGGAGGAGGTCAGCAGGCAGCGTGGCATCAGGCAGAGTATGGCAGAGATCAACTGGATCATCTCTGAGACCCTACAGCTACAAGATGCCAAGCCTTCAGCTGTGGTGGCAGACTGTGTGCCTGCTAGGTGCAAAAGTGGAAATGCCCTTGGTGATGAAGGTTGTCCTGGTGACTCCTGGCAGCAGGAGGATGGCTCCTGCTCTACTCAAAAGCATGCGGCTATGGCATATGTTCAACGTCCTCATTGCTGACAAGGTGCAGGGAGCACTCTCCAGTCATCTTCAGGTGACCTCTGCCAGCAGGCCAGCTGACCTGGTAAGGAGATCTTTAAACTGGGAATGGCAGGGGAGGGGACAGTCTTCACTCAAGTGGGGATGTAGTGGATGGGGTGGGCAAGCAAAGGGCTTGGGGGGTGTGAACAGCAGGGACTCACCAATAAAACAGGACTGAAGTGGGGTCACTTCAGCATAGGGGCACAGGTAGGGCAGAGCCTGCAAGACAGTGTTGTGGGCAAGCTCTTATGGCCTTGCTAGGAAGTGGGCATGTGCGGGGGGCACTAATGCAAGCAGGATTGGGCAGACAGGAGGAGATAGTGGGCTATAAGATCTTACAGGGCTGCAGCCTCCTTGGGATGATAGCTGAGGGAGCAGAATGAGCAGGCAGTTGTGCGGGCTTTTGCCACATGCAGCCCAAGGAGGACACAGCCTGACTAGGTTTCTTCTGGCTGCTGCCCCCCCCCCAGCAAACTCCC